CAGGGAGGAGGCGATAGTAAACGATGGAGCGATCGCACTGTACACTGAACCTCAACCCGAATGACTTGCGTGACAGGTCTCTGGAAGCTCCCACAAAGATGCTTCAGTTACGCCATCGCTGCCTTGTGGGCCAGACTTTTGAGGCGAAGGCTCCGGTTAGGGTTCCCAAAGAAAAACCCCTCCGTCGATTTGAGCTACCGTGAAGTATGTCGTACCCCAATGTTTGAGGCACCCATTTGGAAAACCATCTTTCTCGCCTGTCCGCTTCCTTTTCTCACTCCCAAATCTTAGGAGCTGCCTCCCGTTTGCTCCACTTATTAGATATCAGTCAGCGTTCAACTGATGAAGTCAACCACTCAGAAGCTATCAGATTTTGAAACCGAAATCTCTCTTTCACTTAGCCGCACTTAATGTTATCTCACTCCATCAAATCGGCCAACAAGCTTCCTTAGCTATAACCTTTGCAACTTTCAATTTAGACTTTCGTTGTGTCAGCGAAACACGCATACAAGACTCTAATTCAGTCATCATCCTTCGATCTCCAGATCTAACTTCATCCTCACGCTTCACTTCCCATGTGTCAGGTGATTCTACCTCCGAAGCTCGCGATGTTGCTGGTGTTGGGATTGTGCTATGTCTAGGCGGAGCGTTCACTTCTTGACCAGATCCTGGTTAGTAGCTGACTTTGCGCTGGATGGTTCGATGCCGGTCAACAGCTACAGAACGAAGCGCCGATGCTTATTCGTCGTATCCGTGTGTGCATCAACTGAGTGAAGTGCAAATTATACTCCAAAATACTCAATCAATGGACATTGTGGTAGTCGCTGGAGACTTCAGTGCTCAAATGGGATACCTGGCCGAATCAGAAAGGCTTATTTACGGCCAAATGCAATCTCAGCTAGCTGGAAGGATAACGGAGATCGCCTACTCCAACTTTGCATTGATCACGGACTGCTTTTGTCAAGCAACAACCTCTCGCACAAGAAACGACACAGCCTTACCTGGAGACTGACAACCTCTTCACAACACTGGACTCAAATCGATCACATCGCCATCAGCCACCGCTGGCGGGAATCCATTGAAGACTGTCGCTCCTACTGGTCAACCGCCATGGATACGGACCCTAGTCTGCTACGAACCAGATTCTCCCTACGCCTAGGAAACAACCGCAGAAAACCTACCTAAAATGTATGCCCACAACACAATGCCACCAATGGCTGCAAGTCGACCTTCAAAGCGGAACTATCTAATCGCTTTTCACGTCCACCATCAACCGAGGGACTCCGTGAGCACTGGACGGTAATCAAGGAGGCGATCCAAATATCATT